CGAGTTCTCTGTTACATGGCGCTAATCTTTTGAGAACATTCAAGATCACGAAATGGAAAGAAAGAAGAAAAAGAAGGGAAAATATAAAAGGAGGTAGAAGACGAAAAAAGATGGTACATATTATGTGTATCATGTAGAAGAAACGAACTGGGGCAAGTGGAGGGTACATAAGAATCTGAATTCTGTCCTTCATGTCCTTGGTATTCACACTAAGTGTCACTCAAGCAGAAGAACAGCTGTTGCAAACGCCGTATCACACTTTTTGCTTCACTTCGTTATTTCCTGAACGTAAGTCTCTCTCCGCGATAGGTATCCATTATATCACACTCGTGGCAATCTGGTCGTGGCGGGCCGGAAATACCTGGGAACTTTATCCCTTTGCTGTTGCCAACGGAGGCGAGGCGAGGCAGGCACCCACGTGGCGTTCCTCCAGCCGTTGAAAGTGAGGTCCTGCGAGATCGACTCCATGATAGTTGGGGCGCCTCTAAGCCTACGCGTGGCAGGGCGAGGTCATCTGGATGCCCTGAGCCATCACTTAGGGCATTAGGGTAAGGCGAAGGTCCGCTTTTTTCCTCAGCCCTTCAGGACGTCTTGAGGCCTACGCGAGAAAGAGGCGAAGGCCTGTGCATAAGGGGCTTATTTCAACCTTGACTTTTAACCCTTCCTAGAGGCCGCAGGTGTGCGTGGCAGGTGAACTGTAGGCGACGATGCGCGAGCACCTACAGGAAATGGTTAGTTCGAGTCATCTGAGAGATATAAACATGTCGGCCCGATTTAGGTTCCATTACCGAGGTCATTAACGCCGTATGCGTGTGGCGGCGAACGGACAGGTGTTGAACAGGTGCCAGGTGTTGGCACAGAGTAGCAGGTGTTGTGCCAGCTACTGGTGGCATGTCATATATAAAGACGGGAGTCTGCGTGAGCCACAGATGTAAGGATAAATGTGGAGCTGCCGTTCATGGTGAAGGTGAATTACACGAGTTATGAAGTGAAGCGTGAATGTAGGCTTCATTGTCAAGGGTATGTGTGAGAATATGTGTGTGGTCGCGCGTGTGTGTCTATTGTACGTGCGTGCTTGTGTGCGAGTCAGACAGAAAAGGTTTGCCGTAAATGTACAACAAAATCTTAAACAGTTGTATCAGATCCAATGATAATACGAACGACCATAATTCCATAGTGTTCAGATAGCCAATTTGAATATAACAATACTTACCACAGTTGGATAGCACATAAACCAGCGTCACTTTGCAAGCTTACATGTTGTAGGTTCATATTGACAACAATGATATAAGATCGTTCAAAAAGAAAACAGGAAATTAATATTTATATTTTCCGAACGCGACTTTTCTCCCAGTGCCTTTAGATACTCTTACTAAACACTTAATCTCGAAGTATACGAGATGATATTTAACTCTGGCTTCGTTTGTGCTTCAATGTATACTAACACTTTCATAAATTTAGCATCTTAAACACCGCAGGTTAATGGACGAAGCTTTAATCTTTAGTGCAATTTGCGTCACCCGACAGAAAGCTTATATTCAGTCAATGAGGTTTTGAACATTACGAAGAGAGAGAGAGAAGAGAGAAGAGGGGGGGGGGCGAGGGGAGACAGAAAGAGGGAGGGAGGGAGGGAGGGAGGGAGAGAGAGAGACAGAGAGAGAAAGAGAGGGAGGAAGTGAGGGAGACAGACAGAATCAGACAAACAGGACGGAGACAGGTAGACAGACACAGACAGACAGAGAGACAGAGAAAATAGACAGGACAGACAGACAGACATAGGAGCGAGAGACCGAGAAGAGAGAGAAGTCAAGGGCGGGAAGGATCAAAGATCACAACCTTTACTAGCAGCGGATAGTCTACGCGAGATTCTTGGTACGTCTGGGTACAGTCACACCCAACACTCCTTGCTTGGACGGATGCCAGTACCGATGCCGGACCATTCATTACGGGGCTGAGGCTTTCGAAGAGACTCCAACTGCTCTCTGCCCGATGCTTCTCCTTGTGCTTCGTTGCTGCGCCCTTCTCTCGGCCTCGCGTTCTCTGCTTTGTCTCTTTCGGCTCCCCCTTTGCCTATCGTTCGCTTCTCTTTGTTTTCTCGTTGTCTGTCTGCCTGTCTCCCTCCCTCCCTGTCTGTCTTTTTGTTTGTTTTATCTGTCTGTCTCTTTTTTTCCCTCTTCTGCTCTGTCTCCTCCCTCTCGCATCGCATTCCCCCCCGCCGCCGTCCTCTCCCGTCCCTCCCTCTCGTTCTCTTTCTTTCTGTCTGTCTGTGTCCCCTTTCAGTCTTTCTTTGCTTTCACCCATCTCTCTCTCCTCGCTCATGTCTTCCTTCCGCCTCTCTCCTCTCTCTCAATTACTCTCCTCCGTTTATCTCTCTCTCTCTCTCTCTCTCTCCCTCTCGCCTCCCTCTCTCTCTCTCTCTCTTCTCTCATCTCCCTCTCATCGACTCGTCTCCCTCTTCCTCCCTCCTCCTGCTCTCTGGTCTCCTCGCCTCTCCCTCTCTCCCTCCTGCCCTCTCTCCTCGCTCTCTCTCCCTCTCTCCTTCTCATCTCCCTCTCTCCTACCTTACTCTCACCTCTCGTCCCTCTCCTCTCCCTCTCCCTGAAAAGCGCATCGAGTGCGCACGTACATTGCTTTCAGGGTGTGTTCAGCGCGGGGCTTGTGCGAGGGGAAAAAACATATCAGACAGATAAAAAGGAAAAACGCTCTATTCCTTAAGAAGCTCTCTGGCAACGCCCCAGCCTCTAGCACTTAGCCGGTAGATGTGACGTGACTGGCACTCTGGGGCGAAGTGCAAGCTCGAGGTTGGTGTCCTAGGAAAGGGAGGGAGGGAGAGAAGGAGGAATAGGAGTGGGTGAAAGATGGAGGGAAGAGGGGAAGGGGAACAGAGGGAAGGGGGGAGGAAGGAGGAAGGGAGGGAAGAAGGGTTTGAAACAATTGTTGGGCATGTGGATGAGTGAGAGAGAGAAGAGAGAGAGAGAGAGAGAGAGAGAGAGAGAGAGAGAGAGAGAGAGAGAGAGAGAGAGAGAGAGAGAGGAGAGAGAGAGAGAGATCGCAGCAAGGACGACAGAGAAAAGAGAGAGGGGAGACTAGAAAGAAAGAGAGAGAGAGAGGGGGGAGACCAGAAAGAGAGAGCGAGGAGGGGGGGAGAGAGAGAGAGAGAGAGAGTAGAGAGAGAGAGAGAGAGAGAGAGAGAGAGTGAGAGTGAGAGTGAGAGAGATGAGAGAGAGAGTGAAGAGGAGAGTGAAGAGGAGAGAGTGAGAGAGTGAGAGTGAGAGTGAGAGTGAGAGTGAGAGTGAGAGAGAGAGAGTGAGTAGAGAGAGAGTAGCAGAGGAGAGAAGAGAGAGAGAGAGAGAGAAGAGAGAGAGAGAGAGGAGAGATGAGAGAGAGGAAGAGAGGTTGGGAGAGTGAGAGTGAGAGTGAGAGTGGAGGAGTGATTGAGAGGAGAGTGAGAGTGAGATGGTGAGAGAGTGAGGAGTGAGCAGTAGAGAGAAGAGTAGATAAGAGAGAGAGAGTGAGAGAGAGGTAGTGAGTATGAGTTGAGTGAAGTGAGTGAGTGAGTGAGTGAGTGAGAGAGAGAGAGTAGAGAGATGAGCAGAGAGAGACGAGTAGAGAGAACGAGAGAGAGAGCAGAGAGTGAGTGAGGAGAGAGAGAGGGGAGAGAGAAAGAAAGAAGAAAGAAAAGCAAAGAAAGAAAGAAAGAAAGAATGAAAGAAAGATAAGAAAGAAAGAAAGAAAGAAAGAAAGAAGAAAGAAAAGAAAGGAAAGAAGAAGTAAAGAAAGTAAGAAAGAAAGAAAGAAAGAAAGAAAAGAAGAAAGAAGAAAGAAAGAAAGAAAGAAGAAGAAAGAATAGAAAGAAAGAAAGAAAGGAGAGAGAGAGAGAGAGATCGGCAGCCTAAAGGCCGACATGTAGAAAAGAGGAGAGGAGTAAGGACTAGAAAGAGAGAGAGAGGAGTAGGGAGCAAGGGGGTGCACGAGAGCTGCGGCAGCGGTTTCGCCGACTTGGCGAGCCCGCGAGGTAGATCATAGGTGCAAGATACACATCCCTGCACAACCTGGCGGATCATGGTCGACTCCGCTTAAAGGAATTTTCCTCTGATCCTCGCAACCTGCAAACTCGGCAGTTGATAGGGGATTTAGAGGAGGGGGGAGGCAGTAAGGAGAAGGGAAAGAGAAGGAGAAAGAAGGAGAAGGAGAAGGAGAAGTGAGTTAGTTAGTAGAGGAGTTAAGAAGTAGAAGTAGAGAAGAAGTAGAAGTAGAAGTGAAGAAGTAGAAGAAGAAGAAGAAGAAGAAGAAGAAGAAGAAGAAGAAGAAAGAAGAAGAGAAAAGGAAGTTTAATAGAAGTAGAGAAGAAATAGAGAAGAACAAGGAAAAAGGAGACGAGAAGAGGGCGGATAGGGGAAGGGCATGTGGATATGGGTAAGGAGAGAACGAGGAGAAGAGGGGAAGCAGCTCCCGCTCGGGCGGGGGATGACAGTGGATACTCGACACGCGGCTGCCGCGCTCAGAGCCAAGCGCTTTGCTTTCCGTCCGCCGACCTGCGCTAGGCGTGTGAGCGCGGGACGGCGGAGCGGTGGTGCCGGGGGAAAACGCCGCGCTACGCAGCCCCGTTCTGGAAGAATTTATTTGTACGGTCATACCTGTCCCGGTTTCTTTTTGCGCGGGATTTCTTAGTGAGAGGATCACGATACTCTGAGGAGGAAGAGATGGACCAAGAGGAGGAGGACAGGAGCGAGGTATAAGAAAGAAAGGGAGAGAAGAAGGAGGAGGGAGGGAGAGAGGGAAGGTGGAGAGTGGAGGCAAGGGCGAAGGAAGTTAGGAGAGGGAGTAGTAACGGAGCGGTGTCCGGAAGAGAGCGGAGAGGGAGAAAGAGCGAGATGGTAGACGAAGAGGGAGAAGAGAAGCTGAAGGAGGAGGGAGAGGGTAGAATTTTACGAGCGGCGATAAGGAAGAGAGGAGAGACGGAGTAAAGAGCGAGAGAGACGAAGAGGGAGAAATGAAATGCGAAAGGAGAGGGAGAATGGAGAAAGAGTTGAAGGATAGGGAGAGGGAGTAAAGAGGCGTAAGGAAAGAGAGAAGAGAGAGCGAAGAGGAAAGATCAGAAAAGATAGAGAGAAAAAGAAAAGGAATGAAAGAGAAAGGTAGAGAAAATAGACATAGAATGAGAAGATATATAAACAAGAGAGAAGAGAGAGAGAGCAAAGCAAGTGAAAGAAAGAAGGGGATGAAAGAAAGAGAAGATAATGAGCGAGAGGGAGAGGGTTATGTAAACAGCCAATGACTAGGCGGCATCTTGCATGCAAGAAGAGAGTGCCGCAGTGGCACCGGCTGCTTGGCCGTTGGAAGCCGTAGCAGAAACCGATGAGAGCCAACACTTCTGTAATTTCATTTATGGGTGAAATGGACGCGCAAACAGGTGACGCAACAGCAGACGGCGACACTGGCGCGAGGGAGGCTCTTCGGGGACTCTTCTCTGAAAGGAGTCTAAAATAAAAACCGTTGGGCGCTGAAAGTCATGCGCGCGCTCGATAAAGGCTCCAGAAAAAGGAGAAAGTAAATATGCAAAATAACACTTTCGCCAAACAGCAAACAGCAAAAGCAAGAAGGAGCGAGTGTATGTTGACGTGCAAGATGTTCACGATACTATCTCGGAATTCCTGAGTTCGGCCTCTCTTTCTTTTTGCTGTCTCTCTTTGTCTCTCCTTTGTTTCTGCTTTGTTTCTCTCTCTCTCTCTCTCNTAGAAAGAAAAAGAAGAAGAAGAAAAGAAGGGAGAAAAAAGAAAAGAAGAAAGAAAGAAAGAAGAAAGAGAAAAGAAAAAGAAAAGAGAAAGGAAGAAAAAAAAAAGAAAGAAGAAAAAGAAAGAGAAGAGAAAAGGAAAAAAAAAAAGAAGGAAAGAAAGAAAGGAAAAAAAAGAAAAGAGAAAAGAAAAAAGGAGAAAAGAAAAGAAAAAAAAGAGAAAGAAAAAAAAAGAAAAGAAAAAAAAAGAAAGAAGAAGAAAAAGAAAAAGAGAGAAAGAAAGGAAAGAAAAAAGAGAAAAAAAAAGAAAAAAAGAAGGGAGAAAGAAAAAGAAAAAGAAAAAGAAGAAAAAGAAGAAAGAAAGAAAAGAGAAAAGAAAGAAAAGAGGAAAGAAAAGAAAAAGGGAGAAAAAAAAAGAAGAAAGAAAGAAGTAATAGAAAGGAAGGAAAAAGGAAAGAAAAGAAGGAATGAGGAAAGAAAAGAAAAAAAAAAAAGAAAGAAAAGAAAAGAAGGATAGAAAAGAAAGAAAAGGAAAAAAGAAAGGAATAAGAGAGGAAAGAGAAACAATAAGAGAACAGAAAGAAAAAAGAAGAAAGAAAAAACAAAGAAAAGAGAGAGAAAAAAGAAGAAAGGAGAAAAGAAGAAAAGAAAAAAAAGAAAAGAAAAAGAAAGGAAAAAGAAGAAGAAAAAAAAAAAGAGAGAAAAAGAAAAGAAAGAAAAAGAAGAAAAGATAAGAAGAGAAAAGAAAATAGAAAAGGAAAGAAGGGGAAAGAAAAAAAGAAAAGAAAAAGAAAAAAAAAGAAGATAGGAGAAAGAAAAAAAAAAAAAAAAGGAAAGAAAGAAAAGAAGAAAAAAGAAATAAAGGGTAAAAAAAGAAAGAAAAAGGTAAAGAAAGAAAGAAAGAAAGAAAGACGAGGAAAGAAAAGAGTGGAGGGGAGGAAAGAACAGACCTAATGGGAGGAAAGTAAAATGAAACAGATATTATGGGGGGAGGAGGGGGGGAGAAAGAAGGGGAAAAGGAGAAAAGGAGACAAGAGGAGATGAGAAGCGAAACAATAAGAGCGAACGAAGAATGGAGAGTACAAGAATGGGAGGGGGGAAAGAAGAGGGGAAAGGAGGGAGAAGGAGAGGACAAGAGGAGGAAGGGAGATGGGAGAATAAGTGAAAGAGAGGAAAGGAGAGGGAGGGAAGAAAGAACAGAAAGTGGAGGTAAGGAAGGGTGAAGAAAGATAAAAGAGAAGGCCAGAGGAGAGAAAGAAGGCCGGAGAGAGAAAAGAGAAGGAAAGAGAGAAAAGAAAAAGAGAAGAGAAAGAAAGGGACAAGAGGGAAGAGTGGAAGGGAGGATGGAGGGGGGGGAAAAGAGAAAGGCGGGAGGGGGGAAGAGAGGGGAGGAGGCGAGGGAGGAGGAGGAGGAAAAAGGGGGAGGGAAAGAAGGGGAGAGGGAGGAGAAAAAGGGAAGGGACGGAATGAGGGGGGGGGGGGGGAGAAAGAAAGGGGGGATAGGGAGGGGGAGGGCGAGGGGGGAGAAGAGGGGGAGAAGGACGGAAGGAGAGGAGGAAAGAGGAGAGGGGAGGAAAGAGGGAGGGGAAGGAAGAGGAGGAGAAAGAAAGGGGGGGGGAAGGGGGGGGAGGTGAGAGGAATAGGGAAGAAAACGGAGGGAGAGGAGGAGAATCAGAGGAGGGGGGGGGGAGAAGAAAGGGAGGGAAAGAAAAGAGAAATGAGAGAGAGAAAAGGAAGGAAGGAGAGGGAGGAGGAAAAAGAAGAAAGAGAAAAGAGAGGAAAGGGAAAGAAAGGGGAGAGAAAGAAGAGAGAAAGAGAGAGGAAGAAAGAAAGAAAGAGAGAGAGAAGAGCGAGAGTGAAGAAAAGTGAAAGAAAGAGAGAGACAAAGAAAGAAAGAAATAGCGAGCCTGGGAGAAAGAAAGAAAGAAGAGAGAAAGAAAGAAAGAGATAGAAGAAGAAAGAAAGAAAGAGAGAAAGAAAGAAAGAGATAGAAAGAAAGAAAGAGAGACCACTAAATACCCACTCCTCACCCCTCCAGCTCACCATAGCCCCATTCCTCTGTCTCAGTTGGAAGTCCAGCCAGCTGATGTTGAGGAGGTCCTTGCTGGTTCGCTGGCCCTCGTTCCACTTCCACAACTGCACCTTCTCCCAAGGCGTCACAGCATCTCTCTCTGGCCAGCACTCACAGTATCTGAGGGTGAAATTTAGGAATGTATATTAATCCAGTGACAATCCAGAAGTGGCATATACATAAAATGGTATGTGTAAGGGAGGGAGCATGTGAGCAAGTGCTTGAGTGAGTGAGAGTGAGTGAGTGAGAGTGTATGAAGGAGAGAGAGAGAGAGAGAGAGAGAGAAGAGAGAGAAGAGAGAGAGAGAGAGAGAGAGAGAGAGAGAGAGAGAGAGAGAGAGAGAGAGAGGAGAGAAAGAAAGAAAGAAAGAGGAGAAGAGAGAGAGAGAGAGAAGAGAGAGAGAGAGGAGAGAAGAGAGAGAGAGAGAGAGGAGGAGAGAGGGAGAGAGAGAGGTGAGAGAGTGAGATGTGAAGAGCAAGCGATGCATAAGAAGCATGTGAGCAGATGTGTGAGTAAGTGAGGGAGTGTCTGTGCATGAATGCTTGTTAGATAAAACAGCATTCCATGCATGCATGGGTGTGTACAAATACACAGAAGCAATATAGGCGAATCAGGAAATATCAATAGTCAATTACATAAAAATACATGTAAGTAAATAAAGACTAAAGAACTCACCTAACAAACTCTCGCAAGAGGATCTGCAACAAATATTGGGGGAAGGAGGTATAGCACGCACTCAACAGCTTATAAGCCTCAAACCCCTTGCCAGCCTCACAAAGAGCTCGTAACTTTGAAATGTCGAGCAGTGGCGTGATGTGTGAAGGGACCTTAAGAGTAACATTAACTTAGGTACTTTTGTTTTAAGTTGATTCATATATGGATATTCATGGTATATCTACAAATAAGGAAACAAAATAAATAAATGTGAAAAAGCAATGATAATCAACCCTAAAACAATGGTTGGCCTTTATCCATTCCATACATTGGTGGGCCCAAACTTACAAATGAATCTAGTTACCATACTTAAGACTACTGAAAGAAGAGGGTTTATCTTTATGTGGCCACATAGGGTACGTACAGTTGAAGCTCTTCTTTTCCATTGTTTGTCATTAAGTTTACTAAACTTTCAACATTCTTTTTAACTGTTTGTAATGTGTCATCCCTAACCACATTGCATAATTAGCTTTCAATCATTCAACTTGCACCTGTCCACTTATTTGTTAATACAATCTAACAACTTACTACACGTTTTTTTTCCCGTTTCTGTTGTCCTTTCCAATAAGCTAATTTAACTCACTGGCACCAAGTACATATCCATTGTAGTATTGCTTTGTGAATTTTGGCTCCACAAGTGTTCAGTCACAAAGGAGTCAATAAGTATGCCCTAAATGACCTCACCAATTTCCAAATTCCTTAAATCTGCTGCATTTTGCTTTCTAACTGATGCAATTGTTATCATTATTGACATTATGATTACCATATCATAAAAATACTAATACCAATAAAAAATTAAGAAGTATCTTTCCATTAATTAAGGAAACAGATAAACTGAGGGATAGGGTTAGTTGGGATCTTAACCCAGTAATTGCTAATGGGGCAAAAATGTAATACCACTGTGTTAACATCAATGCATAAATTAAGCCTGTCCTTTCAAAATAAACAAATGAATAAACAAAATAAAAATGCACTCAACAACACTAACCAGACAACCATGAAGAAAAAAAAAGAAAGAAAGAAAAAAGAAAAAAAAAAAAAAAAAAAAAAAAAAAAAAAAGAAGGAAAAGGGAAAGAAGAAGAAGGAGAAGAAGAAAAAAGTAGAAAGCTCAACTGCCAACCTTTACATCCTTAAAGTTACCCTGCACTAGGTGTCGTGCAAGAGGCATGAGGATATTAATTCTCAAATATGGGGTGTTGACAGTGGTGACAGTGTTGTAGCCAAGGACTCTCCAACCCCAGTATGCCTTTCCCCGTGACACGTAGTAAAGAACCAGCTGACTGTAGTATGCTTCCAGTTCTTCTGACATCTGCAGGGAAAGGAGAGAGGGAGAGAGACAGAAAGAGTGAGTGAGTGGGAGAACTGAAGAATGAGAGAGAAGGATAGTGGAAGGATATGAGAGGGAGGGAGGGCAAATGAGAGAAAATAAGGGAGATAGGGCAGTGAGAGAGCATGAAAAAAAGAGTGAAAGAATAATTCTTTTCTTGTCTCTTTTTTTAAATTCTAAATATCATGAATTCTTAAGCTCTGATTGTTTCTTTTAATGCATTCCATATATTAAGTTACCTTAATTTTAAGGTGAATACTAGGAAGTTTTGTTTATACAATGTCTATAATTTGTGAGAATGCAATCCAACAGTAGTCAACATTAAGTAGCTGAAGTTTACATAACAATAATGTTCTTCTACTTAATAAGCTTGAGATCTATTCATTCATTTATTAGTATGTTTTGCTTTCTCTGTCTTAGAATATTTCAAGTTGTCCCTTGTTGGATTAACCAGCAAGCTCCTTGATTCAGTAAGTTCTCCCATTTCATTTTCTTGTCCCTTGGACCAATTTGAAATTCCAAATCAAGAGTACAAACTTTTCTCTCAACTTAAAGCTAAAAAAAAACTTGGAAAATGAACTAACCTCATGCCTGAACCGGCAGATGCTCCTGTCACACCATCCTCGATCTACAGCCTTGTGACAGTAATTTGAAGGCTTCACTGGCTGGGGAATCTGTGTTGAAACATCCTCTTCATTCCCTTCTATCTCTGCTCCTGCGACAACAGGCATCTCATTTCCTTCTTTAATCATCTTTCCACCCACAATGCTTGTCTGAGTCGCATAATTCACTCCAAAGTCCTCTGCCATCTTTTGTCCCATCTCAAAATCATTGCTCACTCTGTCTTCAATCTCCCTGCTCTGTTTTGTATCCTTCTGAGTCTCTTCCCTGCCACTTTTCCCTTCCTCCAGTGTTCCCTTCCCACAGGCAGAAGACATACTTTGAGCATAACTCACTTCCTGTTGAGAACCCCCTTCAGCTCTAAGGCGACCACTAGCCTCCCCACTGGCTTCTCCTTCCCACAATTTGTCATCATTCTCTGGTTTCCTCTCCATGTCACTACTACTCCTTCCTAAAAACCTTCTTGAGTCCTCATCATTAGACTCTTCCTCTTCTTCCCCTTCCTTCTCCGACTCACTCATTGCTATAACTAGATTATTTGCACTCTCATTACTGGCAGTCTTAGAGATGACTGAGAGCTTGCTGACAGGATCATTTGTAACAGTTCTAGCATCCTCTATAGGACTGTTTAGGGATGGACTATGTTCATTCCAGGGTTGCAATGCACTGTCAGGATACTCATCCAGGATTTCTGTCTCATCCATATCCTCCTTCCAAGCTGCTGCTTCATTCTCCAAGTCACTATCCCTGATAATCATAAAATATATATATCAGGCATACTAAACCAACCAATTACTACTTAGGATAGCCTAAGTGAGGTAAAATGAACAAGGGTAAGAAACAGAAGATTGAGTGTTAGGAAAGAAGAGGGTTAAAGAAAGGGAGGGAGGAGGGATTGAGAGAGAAAGATCTTTTTTTTTATTATTGATATACATGAAAGAGTGAAAATAAAAAGATGTTTGTCATGAAGTTTACTGACCTTTCAACATTCTTTATAACCACATTGCATAATTAGCTTTCAATCAATTTAACTTGCACTTGTCCACTTATTTGTTCACACTATCTAACAACTTACTGCTTGTTTTTTTTTTCTATTTCTGTGGTCCTTTCAAATGAACTAATTTAACTCACTGGCACCAAGTACATGTCCATTGTAATATTGTTTTGTGAATTTTGGCTCCACAAGCGCTCAGTCAGCAAGGAGTCAATAAGTATGCCCTAAATGTATAAGTACTTCTATTAAATGTAAAATTTAATTTTTGTGTTTAAAATATTATTTGAAATTATACTGATATGGTGTGAAGTCATGCGTAAAAGTTGGATGTATTATTCTTATAACGACACTGAGCCCACTCTGGAGAGAGTAGAATTAAATCTGTTATCCAGTGGTCTATGCAAGAATATAATTGGAGTATATATAATTTCTTGTCATATCTACTTAAGAGAGTACAAAGCTGATAAATATAACTCCTTGTCATATCTGCTTAAGAGAGTACAAGACTGATAACAAGTAGTATAGCAGCACACAATAAGGGGCTATGTAACACAACACTTACAGATCTGCCACACTCTGAGCATAGATTGAAAGCACATCTTCACAATCTGAATCTGACACTGGATTTAAATCCCCCTTGGCATTAGGATCTGAAAAAAGTAAATAAACAAAAAATTAACAATATTCCTTTATAGCCTACAGCAGATTTCAAATGTTGCAAAGTTTTAGGGAGGGGGGATAAGTTCTACTATATATCTATTAAAGAGTATCATACTTCAAACTTACTCTCACTTATCAATGATGCAAGACTGTCCTTCTCATCATTTTCTATTAAGTAGTCCTGATCCTTGCATACAGAGGATGTTCTCTTCCCTTCCTCATTTCTTTCCTCTTTCTCCTGTTTATCATCCACATCTTGCTCTTCATTCCAATTCTCTTCCACGTCCGCTTTACATCCCAATCTGGGCTCTTCCGATTCTTTTCTGCCAATATTGTCTTCCTCGTCTGCAATGTCAGGTGGGTTTTGGGTTGATTTTTGAAGCTCATCCTCTGCATTTTGTGAGGTGATGGCTTCCTGGTGATTTCCCTTAGCATTAGTACTTGTAACAAGGCCAGTGCATGGCTCTGACTCATCCAGTTTTACTGCTACATTCTCTGCCTCTGTCAAATCTATGGTATTTTCATCCTGACCATCGACTCTCTGCATTTCATTATTACCTTCATCAGCTACAGTCTCAAACTCAACATTTACATTACAATTCTTTGGATAATTACAACTTTGGTTGTCAACACTGCCAAGAACAAGAGAACTGATCTGAACACTTGTGTGTCCTTCCTCTTTTCCCAATTCATGATCAAAATAAGCATCTTCATTCTCACTCCTCACTGGAGAAAAACTGCTTGAGAGGTCCAGGTCTCTCATGAGCTGTGCACGTAGGTCATGTGTAAGAGCAAAGTCTTCTAGGCAACCCTCAGGTAAGTGTCCTTTATCCCCTAAATCATTCCCTTCCAGTTCAGCCTCTAGAGTCCCATCAACAGCACCACATTCATTTTCAAATAGATTAGCATAGGTTTGTCCTTCCTTTGCCAAAGCAGAGATTGCTTCCTCTTCAATTTCAGATAGCTCAGAGAAGAGGGTGTTCTCTGACTCAGAGCAAGTCACATCATCGAGGAAGTTAACAAAATCTATTGGGCATTCTGTTGTGGCAGTTCCTCTGCCTAATTCAAGATTTAAGCAGCTTGGATCCAATGCCTCCTGAAAGTTCTCACTCTCACTGGTTCCTACATCCACAGTGGATTCTTCTTTGATTCCTGATGTTTCTAAACCATTTACTTTCATTTTCATTGGAGCTAAACTATTTCCTTTTCTTTGGTTTGAAGCAGCTGAAATGTAAATTTTCTCATTCTGCCCTGCCCCATGCCTTTTCCTTCTCAGGCCAACTAGTGTTCTTCTTTTCTTATATTTCCTCTTTGATTGGGTGGGTGTTGAAGTGATTGCTGATTCTGATACTGAGGTAATGTTTGCCCCTCCACTTAATTCTTTATCAACACATGTGGAACCCTTTATTTCCAGCATATTCTTACTCAAACTCATACCAATATCCATGGAGGACTCTCCTTCAATTCCTGATGCTCCACCATCATTTGTTTCCCTTTGCACAGGTGTTGCACCATTACTGGTTCTATCAGCTCTCTGCCCTTTCCCATGACTTTTCACTCTCCTGCTAATAAGTGTTCTCCTTTTCCTGTACTTCTTTGATAATAAAGGTGTTGCAGTTGATTTTGATGCCACTGCTGTGCAATTTGTCACTGTCCTCATCTGTCCCCTTATATCTGTGTCAGCTATTTTTTTCCCCCTTAGTACTTGTGACTTCCGACTTTCAGTTTCCTTCTTTACGATGTTCAAAGCAATCTCTACCTCCTCTGACTGTACTACTTGTTCTGACAACAATGGTGCTCGAACTTCTGTTTCACTCTGTGGTGTATTACTGTCTTCAAAGAGGCGAGTCATAATCAATGAATCACTTCCTTGCAGATCATACTTTCCAACTCCATCTAACGTTGACAAGCTTCCCATTTCCTGTATATCTTCTCTTGTATCGTTTGCACTGCCCTTAGAGTCTAACAAAATCCTTTCCATCTTCCTTATCTCTAATGACAGAAGTGAGGCAATCTTCCTTTGACTTTCATCTGATGAAACAGAAAAGAATGCAAAGCACCCTCTCATTAACTTGAGTTTCTGTTTCAGAGTATATGAGACACCCTTCCTGATAAAGGACTCATCTTCCCTAGTTTCATACATACCCCTATCCCCACCATCCATCTTCCTCACCCTGCCACTTCCTTCTTGGTCTTGTTCCTTGGGATAATCAGAGCTCATGGATTTGGGAGTTGAGCCTTTTTTTTTATAGCCTGTCCTAGCTTTTGATGAAGAGCCACTTGAGTGATTATTCATGGTTCTTGTATGTCTTAGCCACCTCTTACTGTCAGAGAGATCGTGTTTTTCTTTGCATCTTGAACTCCTCCTCAGAGATGATCTCTGAATTTCAGCCCTAGGTGAAGGCATACATCCCTCATTTGTTACACCAATATGCTGCTCTTCAGCTGTCCTAAGATCTGGGCCTTTATCATCATACTCCACATACCTGTGAGTGTCTATTCCTTTGGAGTCCACTTTCAGATTGGAGTGTTCACTTGGATTTAGTCTAGTTTTCTTGGAATCTTTACCTTTAACTTTCATTACTGTTTCTGGCTTGTGGAAAGTAAAATCTTCTTTCCTTCTCCTTATGATATCTAGCAAACTTTTCTTCCAATACTTTGTCCTAGAGAGTTTCCTAACAATGGTATGCACAGGATAAAGTGGAAAGATACGCTTCTTCCTTCTACCCCTTCTGCCAGGCTTCGTGTTCTGCAAAGGCTTGTCATGTGGCAACACATCCTGTGAACTGGGCATTTCAGGAAACCAGCCAATGCTTCGACAGAGAGATAAAAATCGCTGAAGTTTTACAGACCTTGGTGCTGAGGAGCTCTTTACCTTACAGCAATTCTGAGCTCTATCTCTACTGGCCACTGTTGATGATTCTGTGGGCGAGGATCTCTGCCTAGAATCAGCATCACTTGGTTTACTCTCTTTTCTATCTTCAAGTATTGTTGTTGGAGTTTTTCCCTTTTCTTCTTCATTCTCTCCAATAACAAGAGGCAACTCTGAGTTTTGCATTACCTTGAAATCATCTTCCAGCCTTGGCATCTTCTGTGAATAAAGGACCTTCAGAGCTGCCGACCTTTTTCTTGGGGAGAAAATAATCCGTTTCCGATAATGGTTCACCTTCTTCCTTTGAGATCTTTTCACTTTGACTTTTTCAATGTCTGTTTTGTCTCTACTAAGATCCTCTCCCTCTGTTTTCTCTATACTGGGAGCAACCTCATTTTCCCCTACAATCCTGCAAAGTGCTTCTCCTGCAATGCTATCATCAGGGAATGTCTCCTCCTGAGTGGGAATAGGAGAGAATGCCCTCCCACTCACCTGCTGTTTGCTCAAGGGAGTATTAGGTTCCTCACTGGTGTTTAGAGTAGCATCTTCAACATGCTGCTCAGGATGATGGGGTCTTGGAGGTGTCACGAGTGTCTCTTTCACATTTCCTAACTGCATCCCAAGATGCTTATCTGGTAATTCCATTGTGCTGCAATTATAGAGAGAGATTTAAGAATACTTCGAAACAGGAAAAATACAAGATTTATGATCAGAAACTGAGAAATTTGTTTTTTTGTCATTAATAATAAAAGTCAGTGATATATTTCAATATGATCATTATATTATTGCAGTAATCATCTCACACTGACTGCAAAATGACTAAAAAATCATACATATAGTGGAAATAGTGTTTCATAGGTGTTTCTCATAGTTATGTATTTCTACCTTTATAAGAATTAAAAACAAAGGATTCACTTACCAAAAGACACTCCTAGTACTTGGCTCTACTTCTTCTAATGGGGGCTCCTCCAGTTCTGGGTTGGCTATACTGTTATCTTTTGCTCCAACATTAACTCTCCCCTTTGTATTGTCTAACAGAGGTACACCTCTACCCTCTCCAGAGTCACTTCTCGCCATATCTTCTTCATTGGTTGTGGATTTCTCCAACCAAATGACAGATTCCTGAATTTGAACATCATCAGTAAGATTCCTAGATTCCTGATTCTTGGTGTTATCAATAAAGTTCTTGACATCATGACAATAATCCTTCAAGACACTAATACTGGTTACAGTCATGCTACACTTCTGTCTTCCATCCCGGGTTTGTTGACTTGGGATGGATTTGATCATCAAGTGACCTGGCAAAACTTCACATGCAGAAGACTGTTTAGAGTATGAAACCTCACACAGTGGCTTGAACTGTAAATTCTGTCTAGGCTGTCGACAACAGATTTCCATGGATGCAATTGATTCTGCATTCACTCCCAAACTTTTAGATTTCTGTGACTCATCATCTCTGCCCCCACTCAATGCCTTAAAGTCAGTAATGGTGCCCTTATCCTCACTGGATGACGTATAAACTTCCTCAGTATCATTCCTCTTCTTACCCTCAGCTACAGTGGTCTGGTCTGGTTTGGCTGACCAAGTCATGTCCCTTTTACAGATTTGGCTTGGCTGTGCAGCTACAACAGGTTTTGTTTCTCCTTCCTGCTCGGACACTAAAGGGAGACTCTTATCTCTGTCTTCACTGTGTATGCTAGGAGATGAACATTTGTCCCCAAGACTTCTCTCCCCCTCTTCCTTCTCTAGTACAAGAGAGACACTTTTGTTAACATCAACTTCAGGATTCTCTAAACATCCAAGATGTCCACCTGTGTCAATTGTTTCAACACTGTCTGTGGATGAACTGACTGGATTCTCAACGAGTTCTCTCCTCTTTTTTGTGGGCCTTGCAAACACAAACTTTAGCGACTGAGAACACTTGGCAAGTCTGCGTTTCGGTCTGTACTCCTGACCCTGAGAAGTGTGTCCAGACAATGATGATGTAAGGGTCTTACATTTCCCTTCTTGTGAGGTCACAGACTCCATAATTGCTAACTGCTTTTTCAACTGATATTCAACAATGTTCGTTCCGTGTATATGAACAATTAATTCTAAGTAATGTTGATTATCATTTTTAGTTTATTCAGTGTATAATATGAAGTCAGTTGTATTCCTGGATTTTGCATTTTTCAAGAAGTTGCAAAACCAAAGCCTGGAAAAAAAAAAAGTATGAAGTTAATCAAACATACACAATGAACAAAAACTAAATACATTGAATAAAATAACACTTGAAATTTGAAGGGAGGGAATGGGAGAGGGGGAAGGACAGAACGGTAGACGGATGAGGACAGCTGAGCAAAGAGGGGAAGGGAGGGGGAGGGGGCAGGGCGAGACGTGCCACTTCCCCACACACATCCAGGGGAGCAGGGGAGGGGGGGAGAGGAAGAGGGAGCGGGGGAGAAAGAGAGGGGAGGGAGCAGGGGCGAGAGGACACGAGAGAGGGAGATGGAGAGGCGCGGGGTGG